CCTTGGCGGCACCAACGAAATTGGTGCCGTTGTCACTCCAAATGTGAGCGCAATGACCACGGCGTGCAACAAATCGTCGGAACGCTGCAATAAAGGCCTGAGAAGTCAAATCAGTTACTAATTCTAGATGAACAGCGCGTGTGGCCATACACACAAATAAACATATATAGCCTTTAGTGCATTGGTGACCACGGCCCTTTGATGTCCGTATGAATATAGGACCCGCGAAATCAACTCCACTATTTAGGAAAGGGCGATGTGGCGTTACTCTCTCTGCTGGTAGTTGTCCCATAAGTTGATATTTAACCTTTGCTTTATCAATGATGCATATCTTACATTTACGTACATATTTTTTGATCGACGCTTTTAAACCTATTACCCAATATCGACTTCGAATGTATGTCATCATCAATTGTATTCCACCATGTAATGTCTTGATATGAGCTTCCTTTATAATAAGTTGTGTTATATGAACCTTATCAGGTATTATAATAGGGTGCTTTGCGCACTCAGACATCTCAGCGTTTTGTAATCGTCCTCCAACTCTCATTAAGCCATTTGCATCTAGAAACGGTGAGAGTGAGACTAGTGAACTTCCTTTTTTAACTCTTTTAATTCTTTTTAAATCTTCTAATTCATCGTGATAAACTTCGCTTTGATAAAATCTAATACAACTGTAAATAATTCCTTCCATTTCTAAATACGTTAAAATATCTGATCTTCTTTCTATATGCTTCTGTTTTTTCCATCTTTTACAATAGGCTAAAACTCTTTTCATTCTTGACATAGACGAAAATCTTTCCCAAATTGGTTTTGTAGTAACATGAGTGTGACATAAAGCTTTCATTTCTAAATTAGTATATGGAATCATGATTCTCTTTAAAGTTACTTCTTCGTTCTTCAACCACTTCGGACCTTGCCACCATAAATTATTGTCATACAAATCACATGCGTTAATACCTCTGGTAGCAAGATCTGCTGGATTTTCGTTAGATTGAACGTGACTCCATCTATCACAATCTAAAATTCGTAGGATCTCAGTTACTCTGTTTGCAACAAATATTCGCAACCTGTTGGACTGATGTTGCAACCATGATAAAACCACCATTGAATCGGTGTAAGCGAATATTTTATCCTTTGATATATCGAATAAACCAGCAATATCATTTATTAATTCTGCTAACAAAACTGCACCACAAAGCTCTAATCTCGGAACAGTTAATTGTTTCAGAGGTGCCACCTTTGTTCTGCTCGCAATCAAGGTAATGTATATCTTGTTATCCTTATCCTTGACCCTTAGGTAAACCAATGCTGCGTAGGATGTAGAAGAGGCGTCAGAAAACCCATGAAGTTGGACATCCGTGTTATTTGGTGACAACTTTAACCATCGTGGAATAGAAATCCTTTGCAGGTAAGTGAGTCCCCTTCTATATTCTATCCATTCCTCTTTCAGGTCCGTAGGTAATTCATCATCCCAAGCAAGGTCACACAGCCACAGCTTTTGTATCATAATTTTTGCAGATATAATTACAGGTGACAACCAGCCGAACGGATCAAAAAGACGAGCTACGTCGGACAGAATGGATCTCTTCGTTATTGGAGTCGTCAATTCAGGTAAATTTACTGTAAATTTAAAATTATCATCTTTTCTATCCCATGACAATCCTAATATTTTTATTACTCTATCTAGCTTTATTTCTATATTTTCCATTAAATTCTCTTTTCCATTTTGTAAATATTCTAATAATTCTTCATTGTTACTTGACCATTTTTGCATTTTAAATCCTCCTTTATCTAATATTTTCTCTATTATTTTACAGGTATCCTTCGCTTCATCTAATTCATTTAGGCTCACCATAAGATCATCCATGTAGAAACAATTATTTATGATATACGATGCATTTGGATGTTGCTTAGCTAATTCTTCGTCAATTGTGAGTTGTTTTAATGTTCTAACAGCTAAATAAGGGGCTGCTGCTGTTCCAAATGTAACTGTTTTTAACTTGTAACTTTCAATAGGTTTGTCGGGATTATCACGCCATACTATGCATTGTAAATTCGAGTGCTCTTCGTTTATTTTTATCATTCTATACATTTTGACAATGTCTCCGACCATACATATTTTATATTTCCTCCAACAAATAATAAGACTACGAAGGTCAGGCTGAAGGACAGGTCCCACCATCATCATGTCGTTCAACGAGTAGCCATTTGTACCCTTTGCAGATGCATCATATACAACTCGAACCTTCGTAGTATCTTTGTCCTCGCGAATAACAGCATGATGGGGTAAGTAAATAGTATAATCTTCTTTATTTTCAATTTTCTGCAGATGATTCATATCTAGGTACTCTTGTATAACCTTTATATATTCTTCTTTTAGATTTGGATTTTTCTCAAACTTCCGTTCTAAGTATTTAAATCTAGTCACAGCTTGCTCTTTAGTATCTCCACATAGTTTAACTGTTTCTTCTAGATTTTGCTTCAAAGGTAATTCTACGACATATCTTCCACTTTCTTCTCGTTTGGTAGTTTTAGCGTATATTTCTTCACAGGCTTGTTCTTCTTTTGTAAATATTCGTTTCTTTGTATAACTCTCCGTTTCTATCTCCCAAAATCTTCTCAACAAATCATTATCTTCTGCAACCATTCTAGTAATATGTAAGCTTGTTATTCTTTTTTCTTTAGTCGATTGTGTTATATTCTTCTTTCCAGATAGAATCCATCCTAAGGTAGTCTGTTGTGCAATTAAGCCATCTGGCATCCTTTGTAATCCGACTTCTATTATTTCAGGATAGACGTCGGCTCCAAGCAAAATATCTATCTTACTTGGCTTAGCAAATGTAGGATCAGCCAGTGTCAGTGTGTTGAGATGTGTCTTATTTGTTACAAATTCTCTCGAAGGAACAGTCGATATAGTTTTCATAACATAAGCTCTAACATGAAACGTTGAGGCTGCGTTGCATCTTGAATTTATTGATAAATTTACAACATGCTTAACTGGTAGCTTAGTGCTCTCTCCAACCCCTGTAACTAAGCCACTAACCTTTGATTTCTTTAGCCCCAATAAATCAACTACTCTCGATGTAACAAATGATGCCTCTGAGCCTTGGTCAATGAGTGCACGGAAGACGTGTGATTCTCCAGAGCTCGATAAAACATCTACCAATGCAGTTGCGAGTAATACTTCTTGACCAATCTCTTCTCTCGAGTAGTGCGTAGCTATCAATCTTTCGACTTCTCCTGTATTCTCTGGTTTGCTGTTACTGGTTGCCGCGTAATCTTCTTCCTTCTTCTTAGTTTGATGTAATAGTGTGTGATGCCTTCTCTTACATATTCTGCATGATGTGCGTTGTCGGCATTGAAAAACATTATGATTGGGTATGAGGCAGTTAAAGCATAATTTATTCTTCTGTACAAAATTCTGACGTTCTTCAATAACTAAATTTAAGAATTTTTTACAGCTATGTATATAATGATCACCACTACATAATGAACACAAAATCTGTCGTTTACAAGAATTACTTTTGTCACCCTTTTCATGAATAGCAATATGAGTGTGTATTCTGTCTCTAGTTGTAGACGTCAATGGAGATATTAATTCTAGAGTTCGAAATTTAGACTCCAAAAACATACGTAGCTGTTCCCATGTTGGTAATTCGTCGTGCCTCTCCGTGCGGTATGCAGTCTCTTCCCACTCTTTATGTGTTTGCACGTCAAGCTTTTGCACCACCAAAAACACAATCAAAGGGTCCCATGAATCTGTACTTATTTCTAAGTTTTTTAAGCTTTGAAGACACTCCACTGTTGTATCTAAAAGTGACTTTACTTGCTGCGAAGTTTGATGTGTTAACCTTTTTTGATTACAAAGTCTCTTTAATAAAGATGAAACTATAAGCCTTTTGTTTCCATAGCGGCTCTTCAATAAATCCCAAGCTTGCATATAATTATTTTCAGTTATATTAATGTGTCGTAGTAATACTTCTGCCTCTCCACCAATACTTGATTTTAAATAATGTAACTTTTGCACATTTGATAACGAAGTGCTGTTATGAACCAATGACGTAAACAAATCTTGAAACGTAGGAAATTCTTCGTACTTGCCAGAAAAACATGGTAGTTGTATGCGAGGAAGTTGGATGCAGGATATTCTATCATCGTATTGAGCACTTGCGAGATTACAATTTTTGTCACTAGTCCCAGAACCACGTTCATAACCTTTTAAACACTCCAATAAATCCGACTTCAATAATAAGTACAAGTCTTCATATATAAAGAATTCTTCATTAAGGAAATACGGCAATAACCCTCTTTGTTCACGCGGCGTACACGCTGCTAGGCTATAATGAGTCTTCTTAAATGTATCCCAGTGATCCTCTATACATTTCAAACGAGATTGTAGATAACCTTCTGTCAATCTAGCCTTCGGACATTTTTTCAAGTTTGTTTGAGTTTTCTTTAAAGTAGTAGCAATATCTTCCAAAATATTTAAATATTTCACTTGTTCTGGAGTTTCATTAGTCATTTTTTAAATATTCGTTTACTATTTTAATCTTCTTTCTTCAAACAGCACTATATTCTTTACAGATCTTCTATAAGTTATACGCGTAATATAAAATATAAATCGTTTCTTAATGTGCATAAATGTTGCAAACTCGTTTCTTATCTAAGTCCTTTTGTTCTTCAATGCGACGGCGATCTATTCAATACAATAATGAATCCGGCTCGAAGGACCATATGTTTATTGCGTTAAGGTGTATTATTGCTTGAATAGACTTAGCGATGCGAGTGAAAGGAAACAAGCGTGTGTATCGTACTGCGTTTAATTTGCAACTAACTAACTCATAAAATATGTTTACAATATGTAGATATAAGAGCGTAATTCTAATACATTACTTAAACAATACCCCCTCCACATATTGCTAGTCTCAATGTGATTGGACGCCATGATCGAAATCGCTCAGGACTAGATTATATGAGATTATACGAGCAAAACTCACCTAATCTCACAGTTAGCACCTTCTTAGCCAACACGAGCCAGTCCTTCACAGACCGGTTAGCAGCGGCCGCCAGCAAGCAGCAAGTGAGAGTGTCTCGTGCATGCGATAATGCGGTCTCATCGCGTTCCATGTCTAGGTACGCAAATAGCGCGCCCGGGAGACCCGTGTCTGTTATTCGAACACCTGGACGAGGATTTCATGTTATTTATGGTAATCATTACATTAAATTGATAGGTATTAAAACATATAATAGTTATTGAATGTTTGTTACTCAATCAAACCAAAACGGGTGAACGGATCTGGATAAAATTTGGCACAGAGATAGATTATAGTCTGGAATAGCAAATAGGCTTGGCGACTTTTTATCCCGGAAAAATGTACGGTTCCCGTGGGATAATTTGTTTTTGTTTTTCTAGAGGCAAACCCGAGCAAAGCGAGGGTGAGCCGCTAGTATTATATAAAAATTGATTTCCTATTTTTCAAAATATCTCACTTATAAAATAATATATAAAAATTCTCCATTCTTTCTACCGATTTCTATTTAAAAATATAACTCCAATTCAACAGGCCAATTAGATCAACATAGAGATACGGTTTAAACCATAAATTGAAGTATAGATTATAATAATATTATATGACTTTAAATCAACTACACAAACATATTACAATCTATTTTTCAGACCCAATAAACATATTGTATTACTCTTATAAATGCGAAAATTTGTACGCGTGTATACATTTGTTTCCCTCCATGCTGAAATGGCTGGACCGATTTGGATAGATCTTAATGAACAGATAAGCTACTTTGAAGCACCGGAGATACACACCCGAGACAAGTAAGGGATAAGGTAATCGGTAGTTGTAATATAATTATTTAAATTTAAAAAAAAGAGGCGAAGGAAAACATCGTTAGGAAACCTGCATGTCTGAGAGAATTTATAAGTTTTCGAAAGACATGTATGATGCCAACCCGCACTCTGCCAGCGTGGTGGCCTGATCCCCTCGTAATGAAGGGAGGCCCGTGCCTAGCAGTGGGACGTTAAAAAGGGTTGAAAACATACATACATACAAAAATAACAATTCGCCAACATACCACAATAAGGTTTGGGCGGCACGTGCTCCTTAGCCAGCAACGCGTACTTGCACACGTCCGCCGCGTCCTTCTGCGACAGCTGGCGGAGGCAGCACAGCGCCGCGCGCCGCACTGACAGCTCCGGGCTCGATAGATCACGCTGTAGGACGAAGTTGTTTTTATAGTAGATAATAATTATTATTTAATTTCAAGCCGTTTTCGAGATACACAAAATAAATTTATATATGTATATACGAGAATTGCTCTGCCAAGAGCTGAGCTGAGGGTGTCTCTGCCAAGCAGGCGGTCTCCTATCAGCACGGAAAACATCAGTACGGAAGATGTACTGTGATGTGATAATGATGATATGAGAATCGCTCATTTAATATTATAATATTGAACAGTATATCGTACACATAGCTGCGGCACGAGCGCGTGCAGGTTGATGTGGGTGGGCGCGAACATGTGCAGCTGCTGCAGGCCGCCCGTGGCGTCGGCCGCCGCGCCCGCGCCCGCGCCCAGCTCGCGCAGCGCCGCGCACGCGCAGATGAACCGCCCCACTGCGTTGCAGCCGCATGCTGCGCGCACAAATATAACATTATATAGACGAGTAAGAACTAAGAACACATATACGAGTATCTATACTGATATTATAAAAAGATAAAGTTTGTAAGTTTGTGACGTTGTAGGAGGTAATCTCTGGATCTACTAAACCGATTTAGATGAAATTTGTTAAGAAGATAGTTTGAGACTCTGGAAAGTACATAGGATACTTTTTATCCCGGAAACCATCTCTTAAGGGGGTGATAATGGGGATGAAAGTTTGTATTGGGAAGCAATCTTTATATATATAATTTTTCTGTGAGTGTGTATGTCACTGAACTTCTCTCAAACGACTGGACCGATTTTGATGAAATTTTTTGTGTGTGTTCAAGGGGATCTGGGAATGGTTTAGATTCACAATTTGAATAATAATTTTCATCAAAAAAATTATTAAAAAAAGTTTGAAACTTTCAAATTAAAGACGTGTAGACAGGACAACGTCTGTCGGGTCCGCTAGTTATTATATAAAAGCCTAAGGACTTTTTAGTTCATCTTTCTCGCTTATAGTGATAATAACGCTCGCGCATATATTCGGCCATAATTCGACCAAATATATTATTATATAAAAAGTACTAGTGGCAAAATATTTTATTTTTCTGACTGAAGATAATATTAGCCGTTTTAGTATAAAATTTCTGTTACGAAAGTTTCAGAAACAGCCCCAAGTTTTGCTCCTGATCTCTCAAAGGTCGTACCAAAGATTGAGAACAATAAATAGGAATAGAGTGCACATTGTGTTTACTCACACTTGTACTTATACTTTATGTTATTAACAAGATAAAAAAAATACAAACTCACACTGCAACTCGGGCCCCACAACAGTAATCAAAGCAGCGAGCAGCCGGCCAATACTGCGGTGCAACTCGTCGGAACATGGCGGTGCGCTGAAGAGCAACTTCAGCACGAGGTTCAGGGTGGACTCCACGTGGCCTCGGAACATTGGTCCTGATGCGTCTACCAGGACTGAGAGAGCGTGGAGGGACCATACCTGGCGAGATATACTTGCGTCAATATAATTGAAGATATGAATAATATTACAATATTAAATCTATAGGTCGCGTAAATAGGTTTGAAATATGCTTTAAAAAAATTAAATAAAAGAAAATTGATAAATAGGCAATACTTAATTTAAAAGCATTTTTTATAAATTCTTTGTGCCGTTAGTAGCCTATTGTATTTATAACGTTACACAAAGTGAATACAGTAGTCTATCTGTGCATTAAACATCCAAATCCACCTAGCCATTTCCACTTACAAACATACAAACACACAAAAACATCACAACTCATATTTATTTCATACTAATATAATCAAGTCACCTGCACTTCAACAGCCGCAGTATCCTGCGCGAGGGCCCTAAGCACCGGCAGCGCTGCAGCGCTGGACGCAGCGCCGCGCGCGCGCTGTACAGCGCCCACAGCGGCTGCGGCGGCCGCACGCACCGGCCGCCCGGCGGCGGTGCGCGCCAGCGCTATCACGCGCTCGCTCAGCGCTTGACTCTCCGCTTCCGTGATGCAGCTGCAGAGACGTCCCGCGCAGGAGGACGCCGCGGCGCGCACTGTAGCGCTGTTTGATGATAGACCCGCCTGTACAGGATATGGTGAATATATATATATATATATATATATATATATATATATATATATATATATATATATATATATATATATTAAATAAAAATATAGTGTTATATATTTTACGATTACATTTAGAGTTCTTGTTCGTGATGTTTCGAAGGTTTTAAAGCAAACATGATCACGGTAAAATAAGACAGATTTGTATAATTTTCAAGCCTATTTATTTTTTTATTTAACATCACAGGACGACAATGTATAATAAAAAAAAACAATTTATGGTACTTTTCATTTGAATTGCATTGCTAGAAAAATTGTAATAATTTAAATTTTAACATAATCGTTATAAATTTTTTTTTATCATGATAAACTTAGCATAAATAGTCTTATCATCCCTATTTTTGAGTAAATAAGGCTAAAAACTATATAATATGTAAGTATATAATACGTATTTCAAAGTAAATAAAAAGTTAATGAATAACTTTATCAATAAAAAATGATTATTAACTTACACAGAATACAATCTTTCAAATATTCAATATGAACAAAAAAGTGATAATATTCAACATAACTCACAATTATAAGGTCAGTGGCAATAGTCTTAACAGCCTCTTGTCCCAAAGAAGTTTTCAATTCAGCTAAAGTGCGCAGAGCCAGCAGCAAAGCCGTATATACATTAATTTGTATCGCCTCTTGGCGTGTTCCCTTCGACATTTTGATGCATTCTACGAAGTGTTCTAGCATTTGTTGTCTGAAATCATGAATTTATTAAAATAAAAAATTCATTTCAATATGTTTGTTTAATGGCTTCTAAGGAGTGCCGTGTTGGTACAATTTACTTCACCGATGTCGCATAGATTAGAGAAAACACGTTATATTTAGCTTGACCGGCAAAAGTTGACGAGTATAACTGTAGCTTGCCACGAGATGGTATTACAGTGCTATTACATCGAAACCGCTCGCCATGAAAATTAGTCGTGACAACCCTTGTATTTGATACCATTTCCTTTAAACTGCATAGGTTTTGTACTATTCTATTCATTCTACATGTGGTTAAACACAGATAAGTAATCATAGAAAATTTTATCGCATACACCTTTACTAGCGACTTAATCTCGCTTCGCTCATTCATAGTTGTATAATAATAGCTTCCGTGTTACTCCAATTCAAAGTCTATCTATTTACTAAGTTACGAACACACACACGCACATACACACACACACGCACACGTACACGTACATTACACATATAATTATAACACTAGTCCGAGGTCACCTGTGCTTGTTGGCGGCCCGCGCAAATATCTGCGGGAAGAGCACGACGGAGGCGTCGATGACGGCGACGCCCAGCGGCGGCGCGCCGGGCGCCGCGCGGTACAGGCAGCACGGGTCGTGCTCCAGCGCGCTCGACCCGCTCGCGCTCAGCGGCGATATCAACTGCGAAATGGTCACATTATCATTATTATGTATTACATTTTTAGTGGAACCATATTTATATATATATATATATATATGTCATATAAATACTTAAAAATATTGTTAAAAATAAAACAAATAGTACAAATATATTATACTAGCGACTCACTCTCGCTTCGCTCGGGTTTGTCCCTAGATTGATTCCCCATACAATTTTTTTATCCCCATTTTCACCCCCTAAGGGATGATTTCCGGGATAAAAAGTATTATATATCCTTCCCAGGGTCTCAAACTATCTTCTTACTAAATATCATCTAAATCAGTTCAGTAGATCCAGAGTTAATCCCTACAACATCACAAACTTTACTTCTTTATAATATTAGTATAGATGTGCACTATTTGTTTTATTTTTAATAGTATTTTTAAGTAATGCGATAATATATACAATAATAATGTATATAAATAAAAAATATTTACGCAAGAAGATACGAAATATTTTCATGCTTAATAATTGATGAAAAACTATTGCATTACGAGAATATTTTCTTAATATATTTTGAAGAAATACAAGTAAATATATACACTGGATGATATCTACCTAAAACCTGTTGTCGTTAAAGTGTAAATAAATGAAAAATTCACTCAATTTCTTATTAATTCTGTTTTCCGTTTATTATTAATGATTATTTAACACATTAATATTCCCATGATACCAAAAATATACTAACTTGTTCTTCTATTTCCGCATGATCAGTTTCATATATCCAGCCTTCTTCACCCAAAAGGATAGTATCACGTGGATGCAATGCACTTCTTAGCATTCCTATTGATATATAAGAATATATTTTACATTAAGAAAGAGTAAACCATAAAGATAGAGACTTACTAATTTAATATTTATTTTGCAATTTATCCAAATCATATCAAAATTTAATAAATTATTTTAAACTAGACGTTTAACATATTGTTAATTTAAGCTATACATAATTTAGATTTATATAACTAAATGTATAACGTTAAAATTAAAAATTGAATGATTAGATCATATTAAAAATAAGCAGATATCTAACAAAAATTTTACTTTGAATGTATTATGCCCTAGTTCATGGAATATATATTCCATATCATAAAACACAGGGTGTCTTAAATTTTTAAGAGATAAATAATTTACAGCTCAACCTTTTAAAATTACTATACTTATTAAAATAGAAAAAAATAACGAGAGACAGAACGCATAGAAGGCAGTGGCTTTGGTGCCTGAACCTCAATAGAATTACTTTTTAATACACTTTTATTTGCTTTATTTGTTTCATCAAATCAAATCTTGAACGTGAAATTCAAATGCAAATACAATAATTTAATAAAATCAAGCGTATCTGATAATTTTGAGATAGATAATAAAACTCTCCGATGACTAGAATCTTCCAGTATGGGCTTTTTGGAATATTTTGTCAAATCTTATACATATTATTGTTGGTCAAAAGTGTAGCTACGATTATTATTTTTTGACGTTATTTAAGAGCCGCGGCCTAGAGCCTTGCTTTTTATCTGACTAACAGCTTCATTCTATTATTATATTCTTTTAATCATATACTAATTTAGTCTCAAAACATAATATAAACAAATAATAAACATACCAGTAGCAACATTAGCACCGCTAGGGTCGGAGCCCGCCAGCTCGGCGGCCAGCAGGCGCAGCAGCGGCGCGGCGGGCGCGGACGCCGCCCCCAGCGCGGCGCACGCCTGGTACAGGCGCAGGCGGAGCAGCGCTGCCGGCGCTTTAAGCGACCCGCCGTAGTTGCGTATCACTGTACTCACACTGGGTGGATTGTATGTAACTTAGTAATTTTACTTCTGTTGTGATTCTAAAATACATTATTCACTAGCGACTCACTCTCGTTTCGCTCGGGGTTGTCCCTAGCTTGATTCCCCATACAAACTTTCTTCCCCAGTTTCACCCCTTTAAGGGATGATTATGATTTCTGAGATAAGAAGTATCCTATGTCCTTCCCAGGGTCTCAAACTATCTTGTAACCAAATTTCATCTAAATCGGTTCAGTAGATCCAGAGATTACCCCCTACAACCTAACAAACACACAAACTTTACCTCTTTATAATATAGAAATTTTACCTGAAAATAAAATTTGTATTATGTTTCCTAAGACATCCGAAGTCCAATTATGAGAGTACATCAACCTTTTCCGTCGCTTTCCGCTAGATTACTTCCTCTTCCGTTACAATTTGTGCTTTTAGCGCCAGCCGTGGCCAAAACTGAAACTAACTTTTGCAACCTGTGTAAGGCAAGCCGCCATTTCTAAAATCATTGTTCGGTTCATAATGAAAATGATGCTGATAAACCCCAGGAAGGCATTATTTGGACTTCGGATGTCTTAGGAAACATAATACAAATTTTATTTTCAGGTAAAATTTCTATATTATGTGTTCCGTTCGACATCCGAAGTCCAATTATGAGAGATCTGTTTGTTATCTCCTGGTGGCTTGCTAAATAGAACGCAACAATGTGATTATAAAAAACATACAATTGGCATTATTAAAATTTTATTAATAAAATTAACCAATCAAGGATTCAAGATTATCCATTTTGAGTAATTCAGAGCATACTATATAACTATAAGTTAATCTACATATTTAAACAAATATTTAAACTTAGGACTGAAATGACAAAAATATTATTAATTTGACACTGCAAACAATCTAGATAGTGACTTTTCTGAATCAACATTACTATTATGATCTTTACTTTTAATCTCTCTATAATAATATTTTCGAAAGGTATTTTCATGGCGCCAATTTGCCTTAGCTAAAATCTCGTTAACTGGGTACTTCTCTAAACAATTAAGAGATGACACAGCTGACCTAACACTACCTGGCGTAGCCTCTATCCCAGCTTCAGAAAGGATACGTCTTATCCAACCCCCAACGATTACAGGACTAGCTGGTTTATTAGGAACTCTTGTGTTTATGAATAAATTGGTCAAATTACTTCGAACATCTTCCGAAATGCGTATCAATGATCTTAACCAAAACAAGGGGTCAGTATTTCTATCAGGCGAAGCCAGTAACTTCCAACTTGATTGTTTATAAGTTGCCGAATCAGTTTTCGACCCAAATATAGGATGCAAGATAATTGAATCCCCACTGTCAACAAAATGTTCTGGATCACAATGCAGGAGAGTTAAGTCGTGTATTCTACGACCCGAAGCCAATAACAATATAATAGCTGTTCGCCTAGAAACATCATACAAACTATCTATGTTAGGATTTGTATTTTTCAAAAAAATTATTACTATTCTTGCATCCCATATTTGCAATTTCGGTGGAGCCGGTCTAGCTAATGACACGGCCTTTAAAATATGTTTAACTAAATGATTTGATGTAATCTTTATATCCGATAAAGTTTCACAGACTGAAGCTATAACTGACTTATGTACCAGAATGGTACGGTATGATAAACTATCTTTAAGAAAAAGTTTAGCTAAGTACCTGGCTACACTGGCGGGTGCAGGACGACGATAGTCCACTTTATTTTGCTTACACCATAGAAACCACTTGTTCCATATTGGTGTATAAGTTTTAAGTGTGGATGCTCTCCAACATCTTGACAAAAGTTGCTTTTCCTCAGCGGACCAGTCCTGTGTTAGAGAGTCCCAGCCGAAATGAGCCAAGCTTCCAACTGTAGGTTGTGAACTTGAGCTGGAGGACGCCCCGTCACTGTGTCCACTAATGTTGTTCTCAGATTCCTGATTTTCATTGGACGAGCTAGGGCGCGGCTCTTCAAGTCTGGCCTCCAAAAGGGTTTCTTCCACTTGGGTGCAACAATTATGAACCTTCCCTTTGCGGAGTTGAGATGCCGTAACACCCGCGGAAGTACAGCTGGTGGAGGAAATATCCAGGCGAGGTCGTAGCTCCAGCATCTGCTGAAAGCGTCGTGAAAGCAGGCGCTCGAGTCTAACAAGTCTAGAGTAGCATAATCTGACACTACGTGAGCCTTTCGCGAGGCGAACAGATCGATATCTGGAGTTCCCCACCGGCCGAATATCTTGTTGGTTGCCTCGTCTAGCAGGTGCCACTCGGTACCGATTCGATTCCGAGAGATCTGATCGGCTTCCGTGTTGTACAGTCCCGGAAGGTGGTGAGGGATTAGTACAACATTCAGGCTGTCCGTTAGTGCTAGGAGCTGATTTGTCAATGTCAAGAGATTCCTCGACTTGGTTCCTCCTTGATTTTTTATATACGACACAACTGTCTTGTTGTCGCTCTGTAACATTATTGTTGAATTTCTTAGAGCCTTTGCCTCCAGAGATATGGCTGCTATCACAGCATACATTTCTTTCAAGTTGCAGTGCCACTTCAGCTGATGTTGACTCCAGCAACCTTTTATTACTTTGTTGTTTACTAGTGCCCCCCATTGAATGTCCGAGGCGTCGGTGACGAGGTAATTGACAGGTAAGTTCCTTGGGTGAATATGAGACTTCTGGTCGATATTTTCCAACCACCACTTTAATTCCCCGCGCACTTCGTCTGCGAACGGGATCGGCCGGCGAGAATTTTTCTGTAAACAATTGCTGTGGCGCTGAAGCACTCGGCAATGCAACCTTCCCCGAGGGGTGATGAAGGTCGCAAAATTGAGATACCCTAAGAGGCGTTGCGCCTGCTTGAGGGTCCAACTGCCTGCTGTCAAGCGAGCCCATAAGCACTGACGGATCTTGGCTACCTTTTCTGGGGGCAAACTCTTGGAGTTGTATTGCGTATCCCAGATAATCCCTAGGAATTCTAAACGCCTCGTTGGCCTCAGAATAGATTTTTCCCCGTTGATATTCCAACCTAGGGAGGTGAGAAACTTTAAGGCAATATGAACATGTAATCTTAATGTTGCTTTGCTTTGGTGGACTATTAAAAAATCGTCCAGGTAGACAATTAGGCGAAGACCCTTGCTGCGTAATATCTCGGCAGTCCAATTTGTAACTGATGCAAACATTCTCGGAGCTGCAGCAAGGCCGAATGGAAGACATGTCATCTGCAGCAGCCGACCTTCGTAACTTAGGCGTAGAAAACAACGATGTCTTTGAGAAATTCGTAAATGGTAATAGGCCTGTTTTATATCCAGCTTCACCATCCAGTCGCCTGCTTGTAGAAATGTTGGCATTTTGTGATGATGAAACAGATGGAAATGCCTTGGTTGTATAAATTGATTTAATGCCTTGAGGTTGAAGATAACCCGATTCTTTCCATTGCTCTTTGTTATAATGAAAAGCGGGGATATGAATGACGGACTTAAAGGGGCTGCTTCGAGAATCCGATCTTGAATCATGGTTTCTATCTCTGAAGACATTATCAAGGAACTCTGTGTTTGAAATCTTTCCATGACATCCGGCGATGGAAAGATTAGAGGAGGCGTCTGATTGAATGGAATACGGGCGGCAGAAATTAATTTGAGAATAGTTTTGGGTGGCCGAAACTTGGCCCACACCTCTTGATAAAACATCAGACAGCCGCCCACAAACCTCGAGTCATTTGCGCCTACTCCTGTTAGCTTCATCCTTTTGGCCCCCCCTTCCCCTTTTAACTTGCTCGTCAAAATTTTGTCTCTTATTTTTCCTTTGCTTTGGTTTGACTTGTTGAAAACGAAAGGAGGGTTTTTCCCGAGATGTAGAAGCAATCGGTGATTTAGAAGTCACTGGTAATTTAGAATGTCTCACAGGTTTCAGTTGAGGTCCTATATCTTTATCTAATTTGTCTAATCCGCCTATTTTTTGTATATAAGCCGATAAACTTTGAGGATTAAACATATATTCTATCGAAGGAGGTATTTTATCGATATCTTCCCGTAAATACTTTCCCTTTAAACCTTTAAGCAAAGCTTTACGCCGTAGTTCTAATACCTCTGCACGTTTTCCACAAATTAATTGTAAAATGTCGTGAGATACAGCCTTATAATTAGATTCGTTTCCAAATAACTCTTTTAATTTATCATAAATTAAATTTGAAGTTAATTGCGCATCAGGTTTCGCGGCCCAGTCTATTAAATGTTTTAATGCAATATTAACACATTCATTTTGAGCTAAAAAGGCATTAGACAAGGCAGCCAAACTGCGTTCCATCTGATACCATCTGAGCGGAGCAAAAGGATCTTCTAAACGCCTCAATTCCTCATTTACTTTTAGCTCAGAAAATGCCGGGAATGCTACATATTTCTTTTGCACCTCGGTGTACCGAACAGAATTCCAATCCAGAGAATCAAATCTTTGCATTGACGCTATTTTTGCAACCCGTTCAGGATTTGCCTTTGGCATAGTTGGTTCCTTGACGGACACATTTAGCTCGGCAATATCTTTTAATTCACCTACTGGCCTTAAAAACGGGTCATCGAGCGAATTTTTTACTGCTGTCGAAGCAGCCGCCATAGGAAACGAGGAGTTCGTGGATATCGGATGCATCGTAGCGTAATTGACACAAAATAAATTATTTATATGATTCACCAACTGCTGCGATAACTGATCAAACCTGCGATCGATTTCTTGACATGAATCGGAAGACCGACTATGACGTCGTCGCTTTGTCGGCGGTTCATCTTCCTCGCTCGAACTTGAATTCGAATCCGATGATTCACTTGAAGGCGTGTGAGTATTTTTCTCCAACCGATTCGAATCACAATCACCAAAAACGTCCACATTATTATTAATCACTGGCTCGGTATTTTTCTCACTGTTGTCCATTTTACGATTTAAAACACAATACTTTAACGTAACGGAATAAAACTGTAACTTTCTACTTTAATCTCGAAAGTTTAAACAATAATTCTACTTTTGAAAACTCTAATATAACACAACGGTCGTTTTTCTTAAACAAGTTTTCTAATAAATCTAGCGATGCGTGCAACTCAAAAAATGACGCAACAATGATTTTAGAAATGGCGGCTTGCCTTACACAGGTTGCAAAAGTTAGTTTCAGTTTTGGCCACGGCTGGCGCTAAAAGCACAAATTGTAACGGAAGAGGAAGTAATCTAGCGGAAAGCGACGGAAAAGGTTGATGTACTCTCATAATTGGACTTCGGATGTCGAACGGAACACATAATATTAATATAGATATGAAATAACAATATTTATGTATTCAGCCCCTTTTTTTATAAACGTCACACTGCTGAGCATGAACCTTCTTTCAATACGAGGGGGATCAGGCCATATATTATTTCAAAGTATCATTTCCAAAAATCAAGCGCATAGACGGAGGATTAAATAACTGAAATTTCAATAGATATATAATAGAAAAATATTTATCAAGTATAAATTTGCTCTTAATAATTTTTTTTTTATTTACTCACTTGGTAAGAACAGCAATGGCTCCCTCAATGGGCTGTGTTAATCTTTTAGCGGTGTCCTCATTGTTAACCAACGATGGACAATGTATGAGAAGACTGTGTAATGCGGAGAGCGCTCCAGCTCGGCCTTCTAATGTTACCTGTTAATTGTACATGGGAAGTTTAATTTAATTTTTACAAATAATTATTTTTATTAAAAAAACAATATTGACTTTTAAAAAAAAGAATTACTCATTGCACACTAAATACTTATTATTTTGCTTAAACTTATAATTTAGATAATTAGAATATACGGTTTGGCGTAAACAAAAAAAAACCTATACGCCACATTTTTCTAATTCAGGTGCAAATGAAAAAAAATTTTGCTAACAAAAAATTATACATATATATTGAATACTTAAACATTATAAGATATCAAATTGAGATAAACAAAAAAAGAGAAATAAAAGTAATTTGTAAAAATAAAAGTAACAAATATAACTTATGTAGAATAATATTTCTCACCTGCCAAGTGAAAGCGTCACCTCGAGCTTTTTCCGATTCCAGCTCTTTGACTGAGCGCGGGAAACTATTCCTCCACAGAAGCAGCATACGAGGCAACAAGCCCCGCACTACCGGTACACCTGCCAAATATATTTATTAATAAATAAATTATATTTATTTATTTCTGTACATTACATTACAATTGTTCATGTCTCGAGCAGAATTATACTATTTTAGTAATACTTGTAATAATATCTATTTATTCATACTTAATTAAGTATGTTTACTTAGAAAATATTTTTGATTAATCAATATAAAGTTTAATTTTCAAATATCTCTTTAATATAGTCTAATCAGACCACTCCATCTTCAAATAAAACGCAAATACAAATATGAAATAAAATATGTGAAGTATTTTTCTTCCCTTTCCACCTATATAGTCAAAAATTTGCACCAAATTGCTAAATAAATGCTTTGGTAGTTTTATATAATGTTATAATTGTTGAATTAAAAATTAATAATTTACCTACTCAATGATTAATTTAAAAAAAACATTGTTCACTTCTAAAATATGTTTTGCATAATATTTAAAACAACTTTATTTCTGTGCATGCTGTGTTTACTTGTAAGTAATCTCTACATTTAGTTCCTAGTTTTTAGTTCTATTTTTTATATTTGTGTGTATTATTGTAAGTGTTTGTAAATAGACCTAATGAATAAAAAAAATTATATCAATATTGCGTCCAAATAAACTAAGAGGTCAAACTACAGCAGTCACCCACCCAGCACTCACCCAAAGTACAAATAGCGCCAACGATCAACCAGCCAGCGTTGGTCCTCGCGGCGGTGAGGCGGCTGCTCTGGCCGGCCGAGCGCAGCAGCTGCTCCGCCGCGTTGAACGCGATCTTGCCCCTGCCGTGCGGCACGCCGAGGGGCGAGGATTGCACGGCACCCAATATTGCTGCTAGGGCCGCGGAATAACCTGGAAAATTAAGTTATATATTATATAAAAAATAAGTTATATAAATAACATATGTTTCATTCGCATCACTGTAGGCTTTACTGGGTTTTTTTATTTTATTTGACATACAAAAAATATTTTTCCCATAGAAACTTTACCATTTTTAGGAGTACTTTTTTATTTTGACAATTTCACAAAAAAAATTCTTAGCTATCACTTCGGTTATTATAGGAATTGCCTATAAAAATTTAGCCCGCTTGAATGTAAATGATTAGGTGAAAGAGAAATAGTTTTTTTCCTAAGCTAAAAGATTTATCTATTCTTTCTATCTTAACATTTGCTTGGACGCTTCCGACACGAACTAAGTTGGAACACAACGGTAATGCGCTCGAATGTACTTTTCAAGAAAATTCTCATATCGATGTGGTAACAAAGGACATTTCATCAGAGATGCGGCGCGGCGTAGGGCGGTACTGAGCCGTGCTTAAAATCAGTGTACCATATAAAACAATATCATCCAACAAGAATTATAAAACGCAAGAGAGTTAAAAATATTATCTATTTGCTACTCAAGGTACATAGCACAAGTGCGTATGTATGTGTACGTATTCGTATGTGTGTGTATGCGTATACACATGCGCATGCATTCACTGACCGGAGATGCGGTGCGGCGTGGGGCGCGGCACGTCGAGCGCGTCGCCGGCGCGGTCCAGCAGCGGCGCCAGCAGCGCCGGCTGCGCCACGCACAGCCCGCGCAGGCACGCCGCCGCCGCCAGCCGCGCCGCCACGCACGGGTGCTCCAGCACCTGTACCACGACAACTTTTTGTAGCGACATTTTTATTTAAGTACCCAAAAAATATTCCATTTGTTTTATTTTATACATTTTAATATTTTAAATAAAACTATCTTTTCGGATTTTGTCGCGGATTTATTTGCATTTTTTTTTTGTTTCCCGACGTTTCGAATGCTTTACAGCATCCATGGTCACGGGAGAGACTGAGGTGTTACGTGTCTTGAATGTATAGTTGTTACAGACAGCCTACCCACAATTAACAAAATGAAAATTGCACCAATTACATTACATTATTTTTTAACTTTAAACATTTAAAAATATAAAAATGTTTAAAGTTAAAAAAAAAATAAAAAAAATAAATAAATAAAAAATAATGTAATGTAATTGGTGCAATTTTCATTTTGTTAATTGTGGGTAGGCTGTCTGTAACAACTATACCTCCAAGACATGTAACACCTCAGTCTCTCCCGTGACCATGGATGCTGTAAAGCATTCGAAACGTCGGGAAACAAAAAAAAATGCAAATAAATCCGCGACAAAATCCGAAAAGATAGTTTTATTTAAAATGTCAAATATTCGCGTAAATCTAAGAAAGTATTACATTTTATTATTTTTTTTCTAACAAGTGAATATTTTGAGATTCAGTCAAGTGTATTGTTAGAATCATTTTTACAAAATATATGTATACATAAAGACAGTTGATTATGTTTAAGTATATTCTATACATATTGAGATTACCTGTTACGTTATGTCTGATTCAATTGCAATATTTCTTGAACTTTTCATTCGACAAATTCATATCAAATCACCCTTAACTAACATGTAGCCAAAATAAACAAAACCTTTTTGAATTTCATAAATATATAATAAAATATAAAATAATAAACACAAACTCACAGAGAACACAGTATCTAGCACACCAAGGGACGTATCGGAGACCAGACTGTGCACGGCCGTTCCCAGCTGCTGGGCGAGTTCGCCCGCTTCTGTTAACGCGCATACCAGCAAATGTTGACTGAATAGAGTTTCCTGTAACCAAAATAAAAAACAAATACAAATGTTGAAAAATTATTTCATTTATAACAGTTAGTACATAAATTTTTCCGGGATAAAAAGTAACATATGTGCTATTTCCGACTATAATCTTTGAATTCTATGACAAATTTCATCCAGATCCGTTCAGCCGTTCAGACGTGATTGAGAACAAACATCCATCCAAACTTTCGCATTTATAATATTTATATGGATTTATGATCGCTTCGCGTTCCTAGCTGCCTTACAGTAACCTATTCGTTACAGCTAAATTTCATCTAAATTCGTCCAGCCACTTTAGCGTAAAGAATGAAGAAAAATAAACCTATATACATATACACATAAAAACGTTGCATGTATATTATAGTAGTGTGTTAAAGTATTTAGTTAGTTATTGAACGAGAAAGTGATATACGACGAATATGAATGTGAATTAGACTTTTCCAACCACAGAATTTGTTATCCCCCATATAAAATGCTGTAAATAACCTAAAATGGGCAATCATAAAAAATAAATAAAGAAATAATATAACATACCTGATTACAGTCTTTAGCATTTTCCGGGTTGAAGTCAATGCTATTCATTTGTTTCGCCACAATTTGTATGATCTCGCGACAAGCCGACGCTTGGGCCTTCTCCCCCAACATCTTACCTAACGTGTTCCTCAGGATGTAGCTAATGCATTTCCTGAAATAAAGGAAAATCGATAATTGTATAAATATATCGATAAAAGTGTAAATAGATCCTGTTTCTTTAATTAAATGTTAAATAAAAGGCAAGATCAAGATTATATACAAAAAAAATAATAACTATTTATAAGAATTTCAATAATAAATTTTAGGTAGAAAAATCAATTTTAGAAAGAGTTAACTATGATATTAGCATAAAGTGGACTAACGAGTACCTTCATCACGCAACAAACTTTGTTTAATCATTCCACATCTACGAAAAAATTTACAAAATTTCATAATGAAAAGCAAAAGTATGTCTGTCGTTCATTTACTCAACAACAGAGCAACCGACTGACGTAAGTTTTTCATATATTGCCAACAAGAAAGTGACATATATATGTACATTATACATATGTATATAGTTTTTATTTGTGAGGAGTTAATGAAATATATAATTAAATTTAAAATAACTATACCTAGAGTAAACAGCATCGACATGTGAACTGGCTGCTTTAGGGTTTGCAACCAGATCTAAGACATGGGTGAGGAAAGTGGTCATGTTACGCTCTAACCAAACACCGCCCATGTTCTGCACGAAGACTACATATGCCTATAAAAAATAAAAATCGATTAGCAATCGATTGTCATTATGTTCTAATTTAATTAAATTCTCTTGTTAATTGCCCCAAAACATGCCAATTGAATCTTGAGAACAGATTACTTCTTAAATGTCACATAGAATGGAGAAGACTGATAAGTTCTATCTCATAATTATTGCAAGGTGTAAGAAACAATATAGTTAGTCAACATGCTATAATTTTTATTCAAATAATCCTACATGTTTTACATTTGGTCATAACTATGTTGGAACTGCTGCTTTGGTACACTATGATATAACTGCTCTGCTCCTAAGGTTTGTAGTAAAATGTTTTTATGGCTTCACATTAAAAAGCCTGTATATTTCCAAAAGATGTTTTAAATGTCTGCCTGTGTATATCAAACACCTTTTGCAGCCGGTCTCCTATTCCCAGATATAAACGGTTTCCAACGAACAATTTCTTCATTTTTACAATATAGTTTAGTCAAATAAATATTCTAACATTCTGAAATCCTGTAATGATACTCACATTTGTAACACAAACACGGACTTCCCTATTCACTCCTGAGCCAGATTTGATAATCTCTCCCTTCAAAAACGATGTGCCTCCTCTCAAAAAAGCACCCATCAATAAGTTCAAAGCCTCATCCAACGATATCACGTTTTTAAGTGGATCTTTTTTGTTCTGTTGCACTGAAAATATTGTTTGAAAATAATTTCATGCTTTATATTTATTTTAAGTTATTCTTCAAAATGACTTTTTGTAAATACATTTAAAAAACGAACACAAACCTTAAATATGCAAATAGTAATAAATAATAATGATTTTAAATGGTGATGGAAATAACAGCTTTTTACTAAATGCATATGAAAGTATATACGGATACTAATAAGAAAAAATTTTTTTTTAATTGTCTATCTATCTGCTTGTTCCGGCAAATCTCCGAAACGGCTGGCAGATAGCTGGTTTTATAAGGCGTAACGTAGGCTACTTTTATTTTAGACAAAGAATCAGGGTTTCGCGCAAAAATATTCTCTCTCTTCAAGAACGATGTGCCCAAAAAAGCACCCATCAAATGTGTCACAATGACATTTTGAACAAAACCCGCGTACCTAGGGAAGCGAAGTTAAACCGCTAGTTACTAATATTATTACTTATAAGAAAACAAAGAAAGCGTAACAAATTATATTCTACGATATTAATATACAGTGTGGAAATATTTATTATTTTGATTTAAGTTATAATTATAAAATAACTATTTATGACTTAATAATACTGTACTGTAATTGTAGTATTTTTTTACATATTAAACAAACTAAACAATGATAAAAACACATTCATTTACTAGTATATATACATAGTAGTATAAATATTAATTAAAAAGATATTGGGAGTTGGGACTTCGACATGAAGAATTTATTTCATGGCACAAGTAGGCGAAATAAAGTTTTTTTTTTTAATAAAAAATATACCTGGCTGCATTCCTAGTTTGGTTTTTGTATTGATATTAGTAGTTTCTCCCGCTTGAGTAGCCGCAATCAAAGCACCTAAGAGTTCCGCAACAGCGCACCTGCGAAAATAAATCTTATTAATAAGTTTTTAAAGACAAGATTTTGTTTGTAATTTTTAAACAATAGAAATAATTTGTGGTACTTTTAGGACCTTAATCTTATAGAAATATAAATTCCGAATACCATTTGATTTACTTGAAAAAAAAAAAGTTATTTTTCCATATAAATACAATTTATTAAGTAAACTAGTATATTTATAACACGAGCTTAAAAACCCATTTATAAAACTTTAGACATATTAAAATTACACTTTTAATTCATTTTATAGAAAAAAATTAACGTGCATCTACAAACATCGATCCCAACGAAAACCTTTAATTAAACCATATTCTGTTTGAACAACAGAGTTAAATTCGTTTACTTAGCTCACTAAATATACAGCGAGATTTCCTGACGTAAAAAATAAACAAAAAACATTAAACCTTAGCCAAACACATAGAGAACGACAATACCGTACCATCATTTTCATGTGCGAATCATTTCCAACATGATTACCACTTGTCTTAACGGTGAAATTAAACATCGTGAAGAAACCTGCATGTCTGAGAGAACCTAGCAATTTTCAAAGAACACGTGAAGTCCGCCAACCCGCACTTGACCAGCGTGGTGGACTATGGTCTGATTCCCCACGAACTGAAGAGGAGGCCCGTGCTCACCGGCAGCGGGACGTTAAAAAGGGCTGAATACCATACCTCAGCTGATAATCACTAGGCTGCACAGCTCTCAGACAGGCGGCGGCGGTGGCGTCCACGTCGGCCGGCGTGAGGCGCAGCAGCGGCAGCATGTGCCGCAGCGCGTGCGCCGCCGCCGCGCGCACGGCGGCCGCGCGCTCGCTCAGCAGCGCCGTGCGGGCCGCGCGGGACACTTCGCGCAGCGCTGTGCCAGCCGCTGTGCCCATTCCCACGCATATCTATATAAAATAATGAATCAAATCAAAATATACTTTGTTCAAATAGACTTTTACGATCACTTTTAAATCGACAATTTTATATTTTAAATATAAATTAAATGTCAGTGTAGTCAGACCGTGAGGAATCTACCCCCGGCTCGGAATGCAGTTCTGCTGAGAAGAACCGGCGAGAAACTCAACAGTTGCTCTTTTAAACTAATAATTGTGTACAATATTGTAATACAATAATTATCTATTTATCCTACGTGAGACCCAACCAGACATTAGTTCCACACATTGATATCTACGAAGTATTCCGCTAACCTCTATATCTATCCTAATACGCTAACCGTATAACACAGCGTCAAATCAATCTAGCATTAATTTAGTGCTCAAGTAGTGTTGGCCATCCATGAAAACAATTATAAAAATGTATAGTTTTTTTTTATATAACAAAATTTGCTAATTTCACGGTATAAGCAGGGACACTAGTAAACCCCCCCAATGTGCGTTCACCTTGTCGTGGTGGGGGGGCTCAGTAGTGCCCGGCAATCCAACCGGGCGCGAAGCTAAGAAACGCACAGGGAGGTTGCCCACTACGGTGGGCGGTGGGAGGTGGCCCTCTTCGGGGGGTGGTGTACCATGCGGGTTGCTCCTGGTACTTCTCTGATAGCAGAGTGGACTGTGGAGCAACCCCATGGTTGTGGTGGTCTGCTTCGGCAGACCTGCCGTCGGGGCGTCGTAGTTGAATGCGTAAGCGATCCTGCGACGCCCCATTAAGGCGGGGGAAGGTTTTGTTGGGTTTTAGTGGGTAGTACTGGCTGTATTACGCCGGTGAGTCCCACACGTCGTGCGTAAATGCATTTCCCAACGTTAAAAAAAAAAAAGGGGACACTAGTAAAAAAAAATATGAATTTTTATATTTGTCTTCATGGATGGCCAGCACTAATTTAGCATTAAATCGAGCGTGTTTTTAGTTTTTTATAACGATAAATTAATATCCCACTGGCTGGGCACACAGGACATTCCATATGGGAGGGATCAGCCCATAGTGCACTACGTTGGCCATGTGCAGATTAGTGCATGGTTCTTTTCTATTCCCCTTTAAATAATGTTACAATTGATAAGTTATTGACATCTTGGCATCGGTGGCAATCTTTCTGCTGTTATATTTTATACTGAACAAAAAGTATCATATTTGACTTAAATTTTATTCCTAGCTAATTTAAACCCAAGTTTTCTATTTGTATAGGCTTCAAATCAGATTAAATAAATAATCTATGTGGTAATCTGAGATTATATCACGAATTAACACATCAACTGTTTATTTAATCCACTTACAAAATTCAAATCTCTTAAGCAATTAGAGCTTGAAAGACACATCACACTCACTGTTTTATATAAAACTTTAGTTTGTTTTGCTGTTATTTTATTTTTTAAGAAAATTTTACATTTGGTATCATACAATATAATGTATATAAGAATATGACTAACACGACTTTCACAGTCACATTGAAACTCAATCTCAATTAAACTTACTTATACTTTGTCATATTTTTTATCATGTAGGTGGTGTTAAAAGTTAGAAATGTTTAAATTATGTAGTAAAATATTCTACCTTATCAAGTGTATTCATAATCTCAAGCCGAGTCTGTGATTCAGCGCTCTTCATTGACCTTATCAGAGTTGTCACTGTTTCTTCGTAAGACCGACCCATCATGCGACCAAGTTTTTCGTACATACTGCCTAAACAGCATATAGCAGCGCTGAAATTTTTAATTACCGTAATTTTATCACAACCAACACATAAGGTGTTTTTTTATAATTAATACTTATTGTATTCAGGTGTCATTCTCATTGTCAGCAAAAATCCTTAGTCATAATTTTAACATTGAATTTGATAACAATAAACTATTTCAGATTTATTATTTACTAGTGACTGTTGATTCACCATTGCTTTGCTCGGATGCATCTCTGTGTGCTTGGCAGTAGCCCATATATTACTCCAGGCCTTAGTTTATCTGTGTACTCAATTTCATCCAATTACGTACAGCCGATTCAACATGTAGGAGTAACAAACATCACACACACATATAAACATACAAACCTTTACATTTATAATATTAGTCTGATTTACTTACAGTCTTGTTGGTAGATATGAAGGTGAGTCATCTTTAACTTTTATTATATCATTGCATTTGTTTACTGTATCAAATAGCAGGAATGTATCACCAACATTAAACAGTGTAGCAAGACATCTAGCTAAAAGCCTCCTTGCTGGAGCCCCAAGATTTTCACGGAGTAAGCTTACTAACTGTGCTACCAATTTTTGTTGACAGCTTTTGAGATCCGACTGCACAGTGAAAAATTATCAATTTTTATAAATGATTTTTTTTTGTTTTAAGCATGTACATATATAAGTTAATACCTAAAAACTATATACATTTTAAAAAAAGAGATAAACCAAAAAACTTATAATGACTTTTTACAAATGAAGTCAGTTGAAAATATAAAAGAAATTGTTCCATCCTTAGGAGCAGGAGGTATGTTTTTCATAGAGCTTTCTTCAATATGTTTGTTGTAGCTTATCTTTATAAATCAATGAAGATATATTAGAAATTGTGTCATTAATTAGTTAAGAAACATATATATCATAAAATATAATAGACTTAAATAAAACAAAAATTGCAAGCAATTCCTGAAGTCCTACATTTTACACCATCAATAGATTTCAGACAGCAACCATGTGTTATAATTGCATTTGTGTTATGATTTATGACTTCCTAAGACTGAAGCCATGCATTATCATCTTTAAAAAAAATTAAGAAAGAAATGTTAGTACTGGTTTAAAGTTATACAAATCAATTACACATTAAATATTAATTTAATAATTAAACAAACATAAAAAACTATAACAATTTTAACCTTTTCCCTGTCCCATGAGTCATATATGAACATATCGATTGTTTTACTATTATGTCTATATTGCGGACACTTAATCTGTTAAAATTCATGAAAGAATATTTCTTACCTTATGTGCAGCAACTAGCACTTTGTCAAGAAATCGAAGCCATTCAAAAATGAAATGTGGCTTCTTATCATCGGGAAGTTGCTGCAAAGCAGCTTCATTCAGTGTCAATGAATGAGACACTTCCATTTTTTGAGCTGAAAGAATATCATTTTCATAATAATTTCTTAGATTTATGCGAATATTTGACATTTTAAATAAAACTATCTTTTCAGATTTTTTCACAGATTATTCAGATTTTTGGTTCCCAACGTTCTCCCAAAGTCTCTCCTGTGACCATGAATGCTGTAAAGCATTCGAAACGTCGGGAACCAAGAATCCAAATAAATCCGCGAAAAAATCGGAAAAGATAGTTTTATTTAAAGTATCATTCTCACTATAAACACATTATAATATATAAATAATTTGTTTATCAACTATTGAACCATCATGTTGTATATGCAAAAAGTAAGAGAATGATTCACTTAGCCAGATGGTCATAAAACAGTGCACAATATGAAATATTTACTTTTAAATACAATAACAAAGTATTGTTTTAATTGCAGCTGTAATAAATTATTAAACTTTCAAAATACATATATTTCTAATTAGATTAATTGAATTTTTCCGTTTATTTTACAGGGAACATCCGACCTTCGCTAAAACTGTTCTAAATAATGAGATAAATTGCTTTGTCGGTGGTAAACAATGGCGTCATTCATGAATCAGTCTCTGAACACCGAAATACTTTTTCGAAATTAAACTTACGACATGTTATAGAGAATAATAAGAGTTAAAATAATCGTTAATGTATCAACAATACTTTATCAAAAACATAAACTTAATATACTTACTTAACATAAAGTTCTCTTACTTTAATACGTGTGTATTTACATAATCATGAACGAAACCGGGTTATATCAATAAAAAATATGAAGACCTGAAAAATTATACTGTACAATATACTTCTATTTAATGAAAAATAAATGCGAAAAGTAGAAAATTGTAGCAAATAGAACTAGTAAAAGCTGTTTGTCTCTGTCAATTTAACAAACTTGATTCTTGTAAGTTGTAATTGTCAAAGTCATTACGATGAAGTAGATATTGTAAGTTATGTTATAACTGTCAAATAGCAAAGTTACACAGTACACTATGCGTACTTAGTCAATCATGATGTTTAAATACTGCGTAGCACTTCTATATAGTTTCTGGTTACTATACAACCTAACGGCCGCTACTTACCACTCAGACCATCCAACATTTAAATCCCCTGCTACAATACAATATAAGACTTCTTATTAGAGCATAAATGCATATTATTTAAATTATAATTGTAAAAAAAAACTGAGCAAACCATGTTCATTCATTCATTCTTATAAAAAATCATAAAAGCATTGAACGGGGAATATTTTTCGAAAGGAGGGCGCCACATGCATTGCCTGTTTACATTCAATACGAGGTTAAACAATTTATTGTGATATGTTTTTTAAACCTGGTTTTTTGCTTTTATTGTGTACGCATCTTACCTGAACAATGTATTGTACGTTGAAATTAGACCAGCTGAAGGATCAATTGAGAAAGAGAGGTGCATTCTGTGGTGGTTCTGACTGACTGATGGTTCAACATAAATCCCAAACCGCTGGTCGTAGAAACGTGAAGTTTTAAGGACGTATTCCGTATATTATAAGGGCATCCAATGAAAAAGAAGTGTTTCGAAATACATCCCCTAAGTGGGTAAAATTAGGGATTGAAGATATAAAACTCTGTCATTCTTAATGTGAAATACACAGAAAGTGCTGTTTAGCTTTAATATAAAAAATAAGAAATATATTTATTTGTTTTTTTTTTCGAAATTCATCCCTTAGTGTTAAGAACATGGTGGGTGGTCAAGGAAATTGAAGCCAGTACAGCGGATTGCATTGACCGCATCTTCCGATCGATGAGCAGAAGCGTTATTGTGAAGAAACAACACGCCAAACGACAGTTTTTGACGTCTTTTTCTTTAATTGCTTCACGCGCTTTTGGCATTAGATTTGCATATTAGGGTCCAGTTATCGTCTGGCCATTGGCATGTAATCAATAAAAAGGCTACCTTCACCATCCCAGAACACTGAGGACCAGGACATAACTTTGCCAGCGATAGGAACAGCTCGTAATTTCTTTATGGATGGAGAGGATGGTCGTCACCAAGACATACTTTGTCTCTTAGATTCAAGATCAAAATGGTGGACTCAAGATTCATCCATGGTGACAATACGATAGCAAAAATTATCCAGATCACGATAGCAAATTTCGAGAATACGCTTAGAAATTCACAATTCCAAACGTCGCTTTTGTTTTCTTAGGTTAACATTCATGGCATCCATCTTGCCTATATTTTTCTGAACCCCAATGAATCAATTAAAATGGATTGAATGCTACCAAATGATATCTTTAGGATCACAGCTAAATGTTTTATGGTTATTCTTATGTCTTCCATACAAGATTCTCTTTTCATTTAAGTACGTTTTTGACGTCTTCTGTAACGGAGATTGAAGGGCGGCTAGAACGCAGGTCATCTTTACAGCTTTATTTACCTCTTTTAAATTCAGCCAATAATTACGCAACCGTAGAATAGGGTACAGAGTCATCACCTTCTTCTGAATGTCCGAAAAAATTTCCTTCGATAACGTTTTTTTCAGGCACAGATACTTTATCACCGCAACTCTCATCCCATAACACAATGTTAGCAGGTATATAAATTCGTAAAGCTTTACAATATATATAGCTAACATTTTAACATCATAAAACTTCAGGTTTTCAGTTTTTGTTCCCAAACCGGATTCTGATTGGACTATTCTGTGTATATATCCCCTGTTTTACCCACTTTGGGAATGAATTTCGAGTAATTCTTTCTTATAGGATGCCTACATCTTAATGTAAGGAATATGTTCTTAAAATTTCATGTTTCTGCGTCTATCGGTTTAGGCTATGTGTAGATCCATCAGTCAGTCAGGAACAACGCAGGCACCAGATGCACCTCTCTTTCTCAATTCTTTCCTCAGCTGGTCTTACTTTCAGGTACAATACAATGCACAGATAAGATGCGAACACAGTAGAAGCAAAAAACCATGTATAAAAGAGATATCACTATAAATTGCATAACCTCAGACTGAATGTAAATAGGCCATACGTGTGGCGCCCTCCTTAAGAGAAATCTTCCCCATATAAGAGCATATTAACCATAGACACTTACTTTATCTAAACTCGTTACTTGATGTCGGTGGACTCTCTCAGGATTGGTATTGGCACGTCCATAAATATTCTATGAAATTAACGACATTATATGCTGGCGTGTGATTACCTACCTATTTTTTAACAATTGTCAATACCGATTTAAGTTGCATATATCTTACAAAACCATAACTCAATAATCCATTTACATAGAAATCTTTCCAATAAGAACAATTTATAAATTGATTCAAGTGAAATGTTTTGTTTATCATGAAAAAATCGAGTATAATTTTTAAATTATCTAAATTTGAGCTCCAATGAATAATAATATGAGTGCTCAGCAAAGCCCGGCTAACATGCAGGCTGTTGTGGATAGAGAAAAGATTTACACATGGATTTTGGAGCTATGTAATCCAGAAACGCGCGAAAATGCTCTTCTAGAACTTAGTAAAAAGCGAGAAGTTGTACCAGATTTGGCGCCTATGCTATGGCACAGTTTTGGTACTATTGCAGCACTGTTGCAGGAGATTACGAATATCTACGTAGCCATGATACCGCCTACTCTCACAGCCCACCAGAGTAACCGAGTCTGCAACGCTTTAGCCTTAATGCAATGCGTCGCATCTCATCCTGAAACAAGATCAGCTTTTCTCCAAGCACACGTACCATTGTTCCTCTACCCTTTTCTTCATACTGTCTCGAAAACCCGACCATTTGAATATTTGAGACTCACTAGCTTAGGCGTGATTGGAGCTCTTGTGAAAACTGATGAGCAGGAGGTGATCACTTTCCTTTTAACTACTGAAATAATACCATTATGTTTACGTATTATGGAAAATGGTTCAGAACTATCAAAGACCGTGGCTACATTTATACTACAGAAAATTTTATTAGATGACAGTGGTTTGAGTTATATATGTCAAACCTATGATAGATTTTCACATGTAGCAATGATTCTAGGAAAGATGGTGCTATCTCTAGCTAAGGACCCATCAGCAAGGTTGTTAAAACATGTTGTTCGTTGCTACCTCCGTCTCTCTGACAATCCTAGGGCACGAGAGGCATTAAGGCAGTGTCTTCCAGACCAATTACGTGATGCAACATTTACTGCTTGTCTCCAAGAAGATAACTCTACTAAGCATTGGCTAGCACAATTGATTAAGAATTTGGAAGCCCAGCCGCCACCAGCAAGCCCAGCTCAACAGAATATGTGAGATTCAAGTATATATCGCTTTTCTCACTACAATGTTTTCAAAAGATAATATTAACTTATAAATCTTACACTTAAGTTGTGAGATTAATATAATGAGTATTGACTATATTTAAATAACATCATTTTATCATCAGGTGTTACCGACCTGGTTTAAATACTTTGTAGTGAGATGAAAGCCATTTATATATTGAGAACAATTTTGTCGATTGTATCTTTGCTACTCATAAGTTTTGATCGTCATATATAAATATAGAGGTAGGTATAACATGTGCCTGATAGTGCAAATCAATAATAATTAGTTACATCATCTCATAGTTATAATTAATGAACTAAAAACAGAATCTAAATTTATATATATATAGATTTGCACTTATTTGCTAGCATATTTTATTAATTGACATTAAAATATTATATTATTCTTATTTTTAACAAAGATTCTCTATAAAAATAAATCAATTAGCCACATGTTGCAAACAATGTATTATGTTTTTAGGTACAAAACAAGATGAAAGCACTAATTTTGTATGCTGTTGTAGTGGACTGGTCTAAACATTAAAGTTTTCGGATTTTTGAAATATGTCTTTTTTTTCTTATTTAATATGTCTTCTCATTAAAACTATAGGTATTTATAAAGATAAAAGATAAATGTTAATTGTATAACTATTTAATTATAATCAACTATTAAGAGATCATGAAATTAAAAATCTGGACCTCTAGCAGGATAATTAGATATAGCCCAGTACCTGCGTTCAACATATCTTGAAATTGGGCTTTTATAGCTTTTGATTTGTTTTTTCTGAATATTGCTTAAATTATTTTCAATTAATGTTTCATATTCTTTATTATCATTGCATAATTTGTATAAGTTTTGATTACTTTCTTGTAATTGAATTATTATGTTTGATTTTGACCTGGATCGGATATCATTTTTTTTAAAGATACTATTATAATGATGGAATAATTGAGTTCCACAGCTTACTGTTTCCACACAATGACTACAAGATTTATCTATTAAAGAACAGTCCTTTTTGTTTATTGTCTGAATTTCTTTAGATCTCAACTTGAAATTTGATTGCTTATTATTATTACATTTGCAAAGTACATAATTATCTCTTTTTCTCACTAATGTTATGCAATTGTTATTACATTTTAATTTTCCAGAGACCTCAGTGTTAATAGCAGAGTTTTCATATTTTTTTGATAATTCTTTTTTGAATCCATGTGATTTATTACTGCTATATGACTGATTTTTACTTATAACTTGTCTTCTTTGGGAATATGGAGATTGCACAGCCTTTTTTTCATTCGACAAAATATTGTTCTGGATTTTTGATGATTTTAAAATGGGTTCAACAATATCATCACAAAGTTTTTGAGCAATGGTGGGCATTACATACTTTTATTTTCTCATTAATTATTAATTGAAGATATTATTCATTCAGTTTTCTTACCCATGTGTTTTAATATTCTTGAAATATGAAATTTGAAACATGCTTAGAAAGGTTTTAAGTCAAATGCGATATTTTATATAATGACATAATGGATTATGTATCAAAAAACTTTTAAATTCTTGTTTTAAATATTTTGTGTCATCACAGTTTATTAAATATCGAAAAAATAATAATGTAATGACACTAACAAACTCTAAATCCCATTGTTTTTGTGCCAAAATTTGACTTACTTTTTGTTTTAATTCAATTATCTTGCTAATGGGTATAATTTTATTTTATTCTACTAGCACAGATATATCATTACAGTACCCCATCCTATACAAGAAAGAAATTGGTCACTGCTTTTTTCGTGCTATTTTAGTTTGCTTGAATAAGTAGATAACAGATGTCGTTGATCCACAAACTGTCGAACTAGTTTATTTTAAAACTATGTGTAAATTAAAATATGACACATATTTTAAAATTCATTCTAGATTTAACTAAACAACTTTCAGCGACTTTTAACAGTTTTTAATCGCGGAATTGCATGAATTCATAAAAAGCGCCACCTGTATACATGCACTACAATCCATTACTTGATAACTGATTTTTTCAATAATTATTAATCAGTAAGATTGCACAATTAACTAGCGCAGTATTTCGTTTTCGTTACCTTATTAAGATTTTGAAAACTATAATATATGTACCATATCGGGTGTATTAATTAATTTTTTGTAAATTTTACACAAGCTTAAATAATAAATCGATACATATGATGTCATCTATTGATATAAATTTGAAAAAAAAATATACGAAAATAGTACATGGGGTCTCATCAGTATGAAGGTAGTCGTTAAATCTAAGTATATTATGAATATGGATTATGGAGGGTAGAACTAAGGCGAACCAACTTATATGGGAAACAAGTTGAAAAAGTGACCAGTGATGAGCAGCAAATTGTAATTCAGAAACTCACCACTAATAGTCGCTAACGTAGCAAGTAGAAGTGATATGAAAGTTAGCAATTTTAAACAGAGTAAAGTGTGCTGAATTATTATTACTTGAAATTAATATGTAATTATATTCTATATCGGTGTTTGCCTAAAATAGAACTATTTTGAACCACAACAAAGCGTAAATATTTTTTTCATTGTTTAATTCACCATTTACTTTTATTCATTTTGGCGCTATATTTTAAATTCATCTACTCGTTTTCTATCAACGCGCTACCAATTTGATGCTTGTAAGCGGTCACTTTTTATACAAAAGATAAATGATAATTCTCCTTAGTCCTACCCTCCATAAGTGTGAAGAAGAAGGCGAACACTTTCGGTTCTCGTAACAATGCACGATTACCTAAATGTCATCGAAAGGGCTCGCTATACGAAACAATAAGCAAAGTGACGATTGTAAATCCAATATGACGGACTCCCAAAGACGGCTGATTTTTTATGCACCCTTATGATATGGATATCAAATGAAAGGGTTTGCTGAGAAGAATGCAAAAGAAAAGTAAAAAAATATTAAATAAAATTAAAAGAAAAAAACAAGTTGTGCTAACCTGCTTTATTATATATTATACGTTAATTTAAATAATTAAAATATTCGAAATTAACTAAGTGCAGTTGAAAATTGATATGCGAAATAGTTCAATTCAATTTTCTTGTTAATAATAGCTTCAAAGCGTGCCTGATAAGCACACGACTTCACCAATGTCAGGCACAATGAGATCCCTTGTAATTTCTTAACTTTATGGTATTTTGCTAATATTTCGCTTTGTCTTAAACGTTGTGCTCGTTGCTTAGCCGAAATCGGACGATGTTATTCTTTGCATATAATAGAATCTTAAGTCTTCTTAATCTGTGCTTATAACATATCTGTTTTTTATGCAATACCATTAACCAATCTTTAATTACTAAGAAAAAAGTACTCATAGGATAACTTATAATATGTGCATTTTAGTGGCAATACTATTGTAATCATGGTGCTTATCACAGACCAGGAACAAGAGTGTTTATCTCCACATTATCTGTGTGTTGTGTAATGCTACATTTACACGTTTGCTGAGGCTTGGCAAACGTCTACAGGCTCCAAACCTTTACAAACGCTTGGATGCCATTTACAAGCTTGCGAGTACATTAGTGTGTTCCGGATTCCCGGACAGGCAAGCCTATTGCGTTTGGCTTGACATATTTTGAACTATACATATAATAAAATTGTAACTAAGCTGAATCTGTACATTAAAATATTTTTTGGAAAATCTTATTGAAATAGACATTATGAGCTCGAGAGTGAGAGCGATACTAAACACGCACCAACGTGTAAATACGCCACAAGCGCTTGCTGCAAGGAAGGCTTTTTTGATCTGTATTTAACGACCGATACTAGCCCGGACCGTGTCAAGCTTACGCAACCCAAACCAAACACCCCATTCACACGCTTGTGTTTGTGGATGCTTGTCGAGTTTGTTCATGGTGACAAATAAAAATGATTTGATTCATTTCATAGACGTAAAGAGTCATAGAGTATATTGCTACATATATGAAGAGTGGACTGAGTGAACGTGCGGTTAATACCCGTCTTATAATCCAATTTGAATTTAGAAAACGATTGTAAAAAAATTATAATATTTAAAATTACAAAATTATTATGGAATGTAAACGGGTTATAAATATCTATCTTCATTATTCGTAGACGACTTCTGGCCGCACATGATTAGTTTTGTCTGTCATTATTCCGCCACTTCTAGCTAACGGCTGGCATTTAAAAACACTCAGTCCACTTTATAGTCTCTATGGTAGTATGGTTTGATTATTGGTTTGGCAGTATGACATTTTAACAAAATCATGGATGACTAGGGATGTTTATATAATCGATATATAATATCGATACTAGATGATTCGATAATATCGGGCTGAAGCGATGTATCGCGTACATATATCGATATTTTATGAAATATCGATATATATCGTGCACTCCTATCACTATGGATGACAAAATCAAAATTTCCTGTTGACAAATGACAATTGACATGTTGTCAAAATTAGTAAATACTAAATAGTAAACACTAATTTAAATAAAAATAATATTCTTAACCATTACGGAAAATAGATCATGTAAAAATTATAATATAATTCACTATGTGGGTCTTTGGTTACGGGTCTTTAGTGTGGAAAGTAGATTTTAAATATGAATCAAAGGTTATAGGTTATGTACAGGGTTATCTTCGAAGATTTTATCAGCATAGCATTGATCATAGAGGGATTTCTGAAAAAGTAAGTACCCTTAAAGTAATTATGAAATGTTATCATATGATTTTATTAGATGATTTTTACATAAAAAAGGACATTCTTTTTAACATTCGTGTGAAAAATAATTTGTTGTATTTTATGATTTTTATGATAATTTAAGCCTGGTCGAGTAGTTACCTTGGTTCCCAGCGAAGACCCAAACAGTAAGGTATGGGGTGTTGCTTACAAAATTAGAACGGAGGATATCGAGCAAGTGATAAATCATTTAGATTATAGAGAAAAGAATGGTTATTCTAAGCAAACTGTCACATTCCATCCACAGGATAAATATCTCACTCCATTCTCTTTAACCTTATATGTAGCTACTAAGGATAATGAATCTTTTGCCGGTAAGTGACATTATAATTTATAGCCCGTAAACATGAACATGAATTATTAAGTATTAATGTAAGATAAACCAACATTTATATATTGTAGTTGTTTTATTTAGCATACTTTTATATCTTCATTACAGATTAGTTTATAACTTTGAATAAGAATTTGTTTAGAGTAACATTAAATTTAAAATGTTGGTACTATTTAGCAGTCTAGATTTAGCTTTCATAAGGTTGGAACACTTAATAGTTCTTAGTTTAATCTTAGATCAGAAGCCTGCTTTGGTTTTACTGAGCTTTGTTTCTTTAAAAAATATTATTTCTCATATGAGCATTGCTTACTGTCTATTGATTGTATTTGAATAAATCCTTTCTTAGCTATTACTATATCATTAGGAATAATCTGAAAAAGTTGGACTTGCGAATGATAAATCCACATACTAAATATTAAATGCAAACATCTATACCCAGTTCTTCTCTTCCAAAAATGTAAATATAGTAAGTTATATAAAAATAATATATTCTGAAAATATATATTTGAATTATGATTGAGAGAATATTTAGAAATGATTTTATTATGACCTGTAAATGATTTATATAATATTTCTTTTTCAGGACCAGCATCAATAGATGATATCGCAAAGCAAGTTGTCAGTTGCCAAGGCCCCAGTGGCACCAACAAAGAATATGTATATAATTTAGCTGAAGCAATGAGGAAATTAGCTCCAGATATACAAGATGACCACTTGTTTGCACTTGAAGCAGCTTTAAAAGAAATTGACCCAGATTTATAATAAACTAGTTAATTATTTAGTAAGAAATGAATATTTTAATGATTCTTAAAATTCCGTTGTATAGATAATGTTAATTACTAAGTTAGAAAAAAAGTCCGACCCATGTATTGTGTATAACATTTTATTGTGGATATGTATTTGTATGTATTCTTTTTAACGTCCCACTGCTGGGCACAAGCAAGCAAAGGGCAAGACCCGGGATTTGAACCCGCTTCACTTGGTTTCCCAAGCGAGCAGCACTGGGCTACTACTGCCTTCTATTGTGGTTATACTGAATTAAAATAAATAAGATTTACATATTATGTGAAAAAAGAAATATTACAATAAAAATAGAAGTGAATTTTTAGGTCTATTCCTATGGTTTTAAGTATTTGAAAATACCCCATAATGTACCATGTTTACATTTTATAACTTGTCACCCATTTCATTTTGTGAAGAAATTGTCAAGTCAGTTCTTTAAATGAAATTACTAGAATGTTCATCTTTGTTAACACTTGATTTATTACTTTTATTATGAATATTAATTAAATATTATTTGTTATATCTCACCTAAAGGTTATTTTTTTATTGTTTTTAATTAGGTATGTTGTTTATTTTTAAAAATTATTTGAATGTTTTGCTTAGTTCAAGTATTGATTTTATAATATGCGGACGTATTTTGGTTAATATGTTACATTTACATTAAATGATTAAAGCATAAAATTCTATATATGATTAAAGAGGAACACTGTGCTGTAGTTGGAATTGTTATAGTTCAATTTGTGAGATTTGTGGATTTGAAGATCTGAATGGGTTTTTTTTATTTATCTGTGCTATGTAGTGTAGTGGCATCAAAGTATTTTTTCTTAATATTTTAAAAATATAATGTACTAGAGCGACTCCCTCGCTCTGCTCGGGTTCGTCCCTAATTACGTTTTAACGTTTAGTATAGATTTCTCAGAGATGAGATATTTTCCCGCAATAAAAAGTATCCTATATGTTGACCTGGATAACCAGCTATATACCCAATTTCATCAAAATCCCTCTAGTGGTTTTTCCGTGATGCGATCACAGACAGACAGACCGAAAGAAAGATAGACAAAATTCGAAAAACTAGATTCGGCCTTTGTATCGGTAATAATGACTATTTCAATAAGATTTTCCAAAAAATACTTAATGTACAGATTCTACTTAATTACATTTTTATTATATGTATAGAATTATGGTCATACACAAAAATATATTATAAAGTTATAAACCACATCCAGTACATATTTTATAATTCAAATATGATTTTACAATTTTTTTCATTGATATTTTTGATGTTCCTATTGTTTTGTGAAATTTGATTAGTTTATTGATCTGTTAGATATTTTGTTTATTATACAGATACACATTTTTACAGGCATTTTTTTTTAAATTGTGTACTTTATATGACTGAATAATTTGGCTTTGCATAATATTCGTTTTGTAATGTAAATAATATCGTAATTTTTTAAAAGAATCAACCCAAAAGTTGATATAAATCAATATATCTGCTAAATTTTAATTACATACATACATATATATATTTTTTTGAATGAAAAGTAAAGAAAAATACAAATTTTAGTAACATTTATTAATGAAAATAAAATTCCTTACAACAACTAGCAAATACTATTATAAAATATCGATTTATATTTAAAATGGTATTTATAAAAGTTAAATTCATGTTTCAACCCATACTAACTCGTATTGTAACTGAGTACGACGAACGTAGTAATGACTTTCATATCAAGATATGCACTGTTAATGATAAACATATATAACAATATTTGTCTTGTAGGTTTCCGTTATTAAGAATTAAAAATACAGTAAATATTATCGTAAGTATCCCTGTTGAAAAACTTCAATAGGATCCTATCAAAAGCGACCAAAGCCATATTTATTGGTTTCTATGTGGCTTTTGTCGCTTTTGATGGGATACTACTGGATTTTTTATATAGGGATTCTTGGTTTTACATACATAGTTATTTAAATTATATTAGGTATCAGCAAATCAGGTATTGAAATGAAAATAATCAATATATCTTTATGATTTTATAATATAGATTAGATAGATCTGTCACTGAATTGTACCGAAATTTGTCGATAAAACAAATTAGCTTCATATTCATCAAACTCACACATTTTCTCTTTCAAAACAAGATAAAAGAATATAATAGAAATATTCCATATTTATCTGCTCTACCATAATATTGCGTTAAAATATATTTAATTATTAATATAAAATTATCACATACAAACAACGTGAATCATTCGTAAAGGACACAAAACAGGAAACTGTAATAATTACATACATCTATGTTTTAATAAATATTTTAGCTTAAAATAAATTTTAAGTTACAATTTTCAAGTTGTAGGTAACAGCTTTTAAGTATCATTACATCTATATTTATTATTTTTTTAATATATTTATAACAAAATCTGGAGTCTTCGTTATTATCATACGTTAGTAGGTTGATAGGGAGTGTCACATGGCTGATGGCACTATCAATTTACGATAACCTATTGCATTAAGATAATAATTAGAGGAAGGATTTGCCTCCATTAATTCCAATATAATTATTATACATATCGGAAAATATATTCTGTACATATCAAATTGTTTCATTTTTTATCAAGTGATAACAAATGCTGACGTCATGTCATGTTTAAAGCCGGACCTACCTTCGAACCATTCGAAGTTTTTTTCCATTTAATATGCACTTCTTACAACTGCCAACAATTTTAAGTAGTAAAATTGATTTTTACACTCCGTCAAACTGTATCGAATATTGTATCGAATATTAATCTACACTAAGGCAGGTACGCCCTGTTTGTAAACCCACCTTGAATAATCTTTGGCAGGGCTGTACGTTTGTCCATATATTTGTTTACTTTTCTCTTTTTACTCCCTTATTTCTGCCTAAAAGTTTGTCGATAAAACTTCTCTTCCTTTTAACTTTTTTACCCTCGGGTTTATGATTATTTTCACCTTCTGCTGTCATTTTTTCAATAAGTGCTGGAATGGTTAAATCAACAATTTTGTCAACTGGTGGCTTCTTTATAGACTCTCTCCTTAATTGTGGCTTGACGTTCGATAGTTCGGGCACATAGTCGTTTTCCTCCAGCTCGGAGAGAGATATTTTGGAATCATTAGTTTTATTTGTAGAGTCGTTGTTAGGATTTTTATTTCCCCCTACTTCTCCATTGTGTAATATTTCCACATTCGGCTTAATTTCTTCAACTGGCTTTTGTTCTGAATTTTCATTATTATTGGCTTCACTATTATTTTCACCTTTTTTCTCAAACACATCATCTATTTCCGGATCTTTTCTGTCGATACTATCGACGCTGTCCGCCGCACTTGAAGTAGACTTCGGAACGGAACCCACTACCTTCGGCCTTGTAGGTGGTAAAGTCCAATCTACGGGCTTGCGTTGTGGCGAATATCGTTTAACTAATTCTTCATAAAGTTTCTGAGGATCTATTATCGGAGAGCCGGGCTTTGAATTGTTTGGTAAACTCTGGTGCTTAGATTTTTCTTTGACTTCCTCGCCTTCATTTTCTTCACCGTTTGGCGATCCTAAATCCACGACAACCCTGCGTGTCGGTGTTGGCGTTGCATACGGTTCGGCGAATGGAAATTTATGTATATTAAAATTTTCTACTTTGTACCTTATTGCTGAGACCGTGTTAGTAGTAGGCAGCGAGGCGCGTACGCCGCCTCGTTGAAGTGTGTTCTCGCCTGGTTCATGTAAATTCGATTTTAAGAAGTCTCGTCGCAGTTTCGACAGCCGTCTATTTCTCTCTGCCATACTGTATCTGTAGTCGACATCGTCGCTTTGATTCAGTTCGGATGTGAAATTGTCGGAATATTTTCGTGGTCGATAATCGTGTTGTCGATCTTCGCTTCTCGTCTCGCGCATGCTGGAATAGCCAGAAGTATTGCGCTTAAAATTAGACGTCGTTATTCCGTGGTTAGTGGTAATGATCGGCTCCACCTCCTTGTACGTGGGCGTAACGGACGTTGGGGAAGGTAGGGGCAAAAACACAGTGTCGTGCTTTTCGAAAACCTCGCGCCGCTGACTGAACTGGTCCCCGCCGATCATCTCCCGCGACTTCACACTGGTTGTAGGCGATTTGTGCGCCATTTCCGCTCGATAACAAACCACAACACTTTTATTATTGATACTATTTTCCTGCAAACACTGTGTTTCTATTTTTATACGGCACACATTATGACTTCACCGGCAACATCGCGCCTATAGAAGAGTACACGTCTACACGTTAAATTGGACAATAAAGGTAGTCCGGTCGTCCGTATAAGGCGAGCCGACTGCGATATAATGATGAGTGATCAATAGAGTGGTACCGATAAGATACGACACTCGTGTAGCGTTTTACTTATTTTCTTTATCTTTTAGCAGTCGGAACAGTTGAGTAAATAAAACCGAATGAACACAATCATGTTCGTAATTAATAGCGGAGTGAGTGAAAGCAACCGGCGGCGGCCGCGGCCGATCGCCGAGCGTTCATTATATAATGAATATTAAAACAACCGTCCCGAATACGATGCGTTAGCCCGCCGCGCCGACACCGCCGTCTTAGCAGACGCTAAACTACGATTGTAATCGACACACTGAAACTCGCTAATAAGCAATATTTATTATTTACCAACTATAAAGATACAGTAACATTATTTGTTTGCTAATTAAGCAATAAATTACAGCGTACCGAGCAGATAAGTTTAATACTATGACTTTTTCTATCTAACGACGAATGATGGTAAAAATCGTCAAAAATTTGACTTAAAAGAATATGAGTTTTCATTGTTTTGTAGCGAAAGTTGACAGAGCTTTCTACTTGAGCTACACAAACGCTCACATTTACTGTAGACGTAAGAATTGAGAACTAGGTAAATATCATAGCTAAGTAGGTATATCATCATGACTGCAAAAATAACTGTTACAAAAGTACCTATTTAATAAACAGTTCTGTCTACTTTATCTTAATTACCTACTTCATGCTTTATCGGTAAACTCATTAAATTCAAAGTTTTAGGAAACAATACAAATAATGAATTAAATTCAAGGCTATTTAAAACTACTATTTCTTAGTTTTCAATCAATAATAAAATTCTCTATTTAGTATTTAGAGTTTTGTATATTGTAGAGGCATCTCTAAAAGAATTTTGATTCTAAAATAACACGTAAAAGACAAATTCAAGACCAAAAGTATTTCCAGTATACCCATTTACAATGAAAATGAATTTACAGTAAGGCGTATAAGTGTCTCGTGTGGTCGAGAATGTAGAAATCTATGCGTGGTTATTTCGTAACTGACCGACTGCTGTTAAATGAGACAGCTGGCTTTTTACTATTTAGGTTTATGTTTTATAGTTCTAGTTTAAATCAAATTGCGAACTCGATTTCGTATACGCCATATTTCACAAAGTGGGTATAATTTTATGGGAAACAACTCGAATCATTGTTTACAAAACAACAAATATTACATAACGAAAGAGTCATCGTACAAGAACAAAACACACACTAATTCCGTAAACCTGTATTTATAAACGGTGACCAATTTTTTTTGTCTTCTTACCCGGGATCTGGCGCTAATTTTATTTATACAGCTAGGAGTAAGTACAAACGTTTCTCTATTTGTAGCAATTCTCGGTCGGTCAATGACTCGATTTCAGTTTCTTCCGAAGACGGTCGCTCCCTAAACTGATCGAGGCGAAAACTCTGTATCGGACTGTTTGAACAGTGATATCATTACATTTGCATACAACTTATAATTCTACAGAGAATTGTGTTAAAAAGTGACTCCGTGGGTAGAGATGACTCAATGAGTTAGCTTAATGGCATTCGTCAGGGTCAATAAAAATTTCAAGGGAAGAATAACGTTTAAAATCCGATTATATTTATTTGTATTTTGTCACAGGATTGTTTGATTGGTTAATTGCAGTTTTTCATCATAGTTTTAATTTTACAGAATATTCTATCTTTTGAATACAGCTTTAAAATTAATAGGAGTTTCAAATACGGTATCAAAGTTACAAAATGAGTGATTTATTTCTATACTATAAATATTATACGCCATGTTTATGTTCTATAATTAATTTATTATTGAATTATAATTTATGAAGCAGGTATCGATACAAAGTGTGAATAACAAGTAATCTAAAGTTAAATTATTGATAGAGTCGATGTAGAGCCCGAGAACAAAATCACTTTTATATAAAAACAAAATGTTTATGAAGGTTTTTTTTCTGATACATTCCAATACAATATTTGCAATTCATTCTCTATAAGCATCATATAAAATTATTGTAATTAGCATAATTACAATATTAAGGATAATTAAAATTATTGTAATTAGTTTCGTAAAACTTGGGATTTGTTTTCATTTCGCAATTCATACCTACTAATGTCCGTGCAATTTTGTTCAATCACGTAGTAATATTTTGTGTCCTTTGCATTAAACCACTAGTAAATTTAATATAATAGATAAATATTAAAAAAGATAGGTACTGTATTAGTATAATGCAATTTCTCTTGAATAAAGTTCATAAGAACATATATTTATAGATTTTTCATTAAAAATTATAAATTTTGAAGACGGATCCGTTCATATTACATGGTAACAATAAATATGTGTGTTGTCTTTAAGTACATCTTAAAAGCTTTATAATTTGGTAAGAAATGAAGTAGGTACATTTATCATCCAAAGTAAAGTTTAAAATCATTATTATTACAAAGTTCATCTTAGTTGGATAATAGATATATGTATGTTCTTACATAATAATATATATTAAGGTTTTCTTAAAAACCTAAAAAGGTACTTTATCGTTCTTAGTAAAGTAGAGATTTCATTAAAATATTTCAAGTACGAGTATCTAGCTAATATCTAGCTTTACGCCTTAAACAGATTTTATTTTATTATCTGGTCATAATAATAATTCCAAATGACTCTTAACAATTATAATTATCACAAAACCAAAATGTTATTCTAGATAAATAATTTGTGTATGCATTTGTTTAATCACCTGACTAATTAAAAAGTGCTTAAAAAGTATTTTTCTATAGCTAATTAATTCTTTAAAATAACAAATAGTAAATTTTCTATGATATTTTGAGAATTCTATAAAGCGCAGCGTATTATTCTATACGCGACGTTGCGGCTTTAGTCCAAAAAAATCTAGACGTAGGTATCAAGGTGTTCGAGTATGACTAACGGCACTTGCTTGATTGGAGCCCAGTCGTGCGTGAAGCTGCCGTCGACTAGATAAACAGGATGACGTCATTTGCCAAATTAATAATCATTTACATAAATGGTTATTCTGCTTACATAAGCGTAAGTTGTCATTACCAATTTTATCAATTCAAAAGTGCTTTTGTGTTTTTGTTTCTATATTATATATTACGTGGAGGACATAATTTTTGCCTACAGATAGATTATCAGATTAGCTTTAGCAGCCTGCATATGTTAACTGGTTCCCATAAGATAAGATAATATGCAAATTTAATGGAAATAGGTATTTAGGGATGCTTTGGAGCGAATACGAGGCGAGTTAATACTTTTTTAATATATCGGCAAAGGTGTTTTAACATTGTGCCTTTACTAAAAGTGTTCGACGTGAAAGACGTATAGATCGTAATTATGTATGAGGTGGTGAGAATATCATTGAGAAACTTAAAACAAGTTAAAATGAGGTTATTTGACGTAGATATTCAACAGCGTGCAATTTTTATATTTGCTCAGTTATGTTACCTATATACAAATCTTGGAGCTGCTTTTCGAATTTAATCAGACACGTAAAAGCTAAGTGTTGCAAGTTGTTATGTTTCTACCTTTCTTATACCTATTTAATCACGAATTTATTTATATATATACCTATCTATTAATACGCTAATAAATATTTCTCTTTTAGTTGACTCAGACCCAGACTACGTAGAAATGTTTCGGAAGTTTTCTAAAACGTCGGTCACAAAGAAACTACTATAAAATATGTAGGTCGTTTTTGTTTATTAGATGTTTTTCATTCAACGCTTGTAACAAAGGCCAGAAAATAATAATTGGGATGTGGGACATCCAATAATATCGCAATGCTTGGCTCGGCTCACGTTTGAGTCGGCTCCATGCTGCGGGATCAAAGGACAATGCATACTGACTTTATAGTGCCGACGCGGATGCGATGAAAACGTATACTTCCTAATTTTAGGATTTCCTCCAATAAATTCTTGTTTTAAGATTACAAGTGATATATAGGTAGTAAAATGTAAATAAAAAAACTTCAGGAAGCAATATGTCTGTCTATGAAAGTCTCGAAACATTATGACTCACTCTCTACTATTTGGGGCCGCGTAATCGTAAAAGTATAAATTAATTGAAATCTACGGTCGAGAAACTGTATGTAGGATAGGCGTTGCTTTGTGTTGATTATTGATATACTTATATTTTTTTTTTGCTATCCGGGTTACATGTGATATTGGTGTGAGATGAATTTGTAATAACATGCCATCTGTAGAAGAAACTAGAGTATGAATTAAATGCTATATATAAGGAATATTGAATTAGCAAATAGATAACTGCAGTTGCATTGCAGTTATGGATATAAATTAAATATTTAAGTCATTTACAACACTGTTTTATCATTGTAAAGAAATCGACCAGAGAATTATGATAAAGTTACATACGTACTTGGTGATAAATATTGAGTTGAGATAAGAAACCGCGGTACGGTTATGCAATTAGGGCGTCGATATAATTATGATACAAAACTTAAAAAAATATGTACAAAAATACTTTAAATAGTTATATTTTAGTAAGTCAGACGGTATGCTTAAAGGGGCCATACAGTTTAGTAAGTTAAGGGAAGTAGGAGGAACACCTACTGAAGAATTCAAGGTGGATACAGGGCTAAAATGCATGCATTATGCACTATTACCGATGCTGTTTAACGTAACACTCGAACATGTCGTCTTAAACTATTAATGCATGATGGTAAGGTAGAATTAAGTGGCCGAAACCAAATAATAGATTATGCCGGCGACCTGGTGTTAGTGGGACAGTACTGTACTGTGTTCGAGAAAAACGGTCGAATGATGATGAGGAACAGAAAGTTGTTCTTTGATTTAACCGTGAG